CACCATGACAGCCCATAAATAAATATGTTAAAATGTATTTATAATAAATAATTAAAATATATATTTAATGTTTAAAATATATACAGTTGAAGTCATAATTATTATCCCCTCTTCAAATGCTTTCTTCTTTTTTAAATATTTCCCAAATGATGTTTAACAGATTGAGGAAATTTTTACTGTTTGTCTGATAATATTTTTTCTTCTGGAGAAAGTATTAATTGTTTCATTTTGGCTAGAATAAATGCAGTTTTTAATTTTTAAACACCATTTCATAGTCAAAATAATTGCCCCCTTTAAGCAAATTTTGTTTTCTATAGTCTACAGAACAAACAATCGTTGTACAATACCTTGCCTAATTACTCTAACCTGCCTAGTTAACCTAATTAACCCAATTAAGCCTTTAAATGTCACTTTAAGCTGTATAGAAGTGTCTTGAAAAATATATAGTCAAATATTATTTACTGTCATCATGACAAAGATAAAATAAATCAGTTATCAGAGATGAGTTATTAAAATTATTATGTTTAAAAATGTGTTGAAATAAATCTCTAAATTAAACAGAACTTGGGGAAAAAATAAACAGTGGGCTAATAATTCAAGGGTGCTAATAATTCTGACTTCAACTGTATATAAAGTCAACCACATAGGGGAATGAAGTATATTTGGGGTGGTTCCACCCAGGGTGCCATTTAAACTAGAACCGACACTGTCCATGATATTGGACTTTTTTTTATTCCGTCAAGCAGCTGTAAAGCTCTGCTTGAAACATCCACTAAGGTTAAAATCACGCCAGCAAATCACATTTATTAATTTGCTTTCCAATATTTTGTAGATTGTATAGACATAAAAGGATAAAATAAATAAATAAATAAATAAATAAAAATCGCTTGTAAAATTGCAAGCTTTAAATTTGGATTTTTAAAAATATGCCTGTCAATTCAAAGGGAAAATGGACATACAGTAGACATAAAAGGGATAGTTCACCCAAAAATTCTAATTTACTCAACTTTCATGAGTTTCTTTTTTTTTTTCTTTTTGTTGAATGCAAAAGAAAAGCTGATAACTGGCAATCGACTTTCATAGAAGAAAAAAAAAAGTACTGTGGAATTTAATGGTTAGTAGTTTCCAGCTTTCTTGAAAATATTTAATTTTTTCTGTTCAACAGAAAAAAACCCCAAAACAAACATTTAAAATAAGTAAAGGATGAGTAAACGATGACAGAACTCTTGAATGTCTCTCCATTATAATGTGCAGTGGGTTCTAAAAATATGCAGTCTATAAAACAAAAACCTAAAAAGAAAAGTAAAAATGTTACATTGTTCAAGTTTGTAAGCTTTATAAGAAACGTTTGGGTAGAGTTCAACAGTTTGTGCCATTTTATTTTTAGTTTCATGCTGGTATATTGTTTTTGAAGTACAACAGTATTGACCTGATGTCCTTTGAAATTGAACAGCAAAAAAGCAACTTAAGGTATTTATTATATAAGATAACTTAATTTATTAACTTAAGATATGTATATATATATATATATATATATATATATATATATATATATATATATATATATATATATATATATATATATATATATATATATATATAGTTTTTTTTTTTTTTTTTTTTTTTGTCTTAGGAAGCCTTGAGAACTGGGAAAATGCACTAAACATAATTAAGGTCTGAAGGGCTACTTTTAAAGTAGTACTTTCTCTACAGAATTCCAAAAGGTTGCACTATTTAGAATCAGTGCTTGATTAGAGTATGAAATCACATTTCAAAACAAACAAACATTAAATCTCTCAAGATCTCAGTAGGAGCATTAACCCTAACCTAACAATACCAGCACTACTAATAACTAACCGGTTTGTCTTGATAAGTTTTTACTGAAAATTAAAGGGATGGTTCACAGAAAAATGAAAATTCTGTCCTTATTTACTCATCATTCGCTTGTCACAAACATGTTTGAGTTTCTATCTTCTGTTGAATAAGTTATTCTAAAGAATGTTGGACAACTGTAACCACACTGAAAAAATTATGTCTGCAAGATTGTTGCAGACAATTTATGTGTTGAATTTAAACAAAAACATTAAATTGAGTAATGTTCAACTTAATTTGTTTAAATTCAGCCCAAGTAAATAGTTTACAACCACTAAAAAAAAAAAAAAAAAAAAAAAAAACATTAAATGCAAGGAATCATCTTTGAATCATTTTTTTTCAGTGCACTGACTTCCACTATGCGTGTTTTCCCTACCATAAAAGCCAATGGTTCCCAGTTTCCAACATTTTCCTTAATATCTTTTAAAAATGCAAAAGAAATTGAAGGAACTACTTGAGGGTGAGTACAACTTTCATTTTAGAGTGAACTATCTCTTTAACAGAGGCTGATATTTTGTAGAAAAATCCATTTGAATTCGCGTTATGTCTGGATTATAGGGCTCTTGATGGACAGAATTTCATAAAGCCAACTTTTGCGAAAAAGCTATAATTACTAAAACTTCAATTACCCTTAATCTTTAATAGATGGAGTACTAAAAAGAGATCTCCTGCAAAAACCCTCTCCATGCAAATCACCTGATGAATATTTCCAAAGTACTATGGATTGTTCTGAAGAGCAAGAAGCTGATTTGCTGACGCAGGTGGTATACTGTACATGTCAATAAACAAATAAAAAAAAATAAAAAATAAAACAACAACAAAAAAACTCTAATAAAGTAAATTAAATTAAACTGGCTAGACCTTTTTACATATGAACTGATCTCTTGTTTGCATTGAAATTCAGCAAATTAGATTTTAGGTAAAAGTCTCTTACCTTTGCATTCTGATAAAGTGGCTATTAAAATGTACAGAAGTTGGAAATGTGAAAGCTGAAAAGCCGCCATCGTTTACAGTAGAGATGCTCGCTATAGGACAGATGAGCACTTTGAGCACATGCCACACCATTTTCATGAAGTTATTTTAAGTTATTCGGAGATCATATGGGCTAATGCGGCAGTTGTATACACGCCAGTCTATCCTCTATAGACACTATTAGAATATATAGAAGATGAAAATATGAATACCGAAAGCTCTCATCTCAGAGTTTCGAGCAGCGCAGGCCACAAGGCCTTTTAACAATTGTTTTTGAAGTGCTGAAATATGTTATGCCATCTGTGCAAAAAGTCAGAGACGTGCAGTTTAGCTAAAATAAATGATAAAACTGGTAATATTATTTAATGACCCAGTATCCAACATTTGGCTGTAGAGTTTGTTTTTGTACACTGTAAAAAATGCAGGGTTCCACACAATCCATTTGTGTTGGGACATGAAGGAATCAAGTTGAGGTTTTCTTGCTTACAAATTTAAGTGGACTGAACATAAAACAATCAAGTTGTCCCAAAATCCCTCAAAAATTCATTATAAAGACAGTAAACAGTTTGAACAAGCTGCAAGATATATTTGTGTATATTTTATTATTATTTTATTTTATTTTATTTACAATGCACTTTAAACAACACAGTTGACCAAAGTGCTGACAAGAGTAAAACAACTACGCTAAAAGCCAAATTGATTTCAAAAGTAATGGAAGAGGCTTGTCTAATATACAACGGCAGCCCATTCCACAATTTAGGTGCACACCCAGAGGGAGCTGGTCGGCTGAACTGAGCAAATGTGTGTAGGTGTGTAGGGACTAGGGTTGTCATGATAGCATCAATTCAGGCCACGATACTATACTGTACCAGCTGAAGTATCACAATACCAAGTAGTAGTATTGCAATACTGTATTAAATCATAACTCAAATCTATGAAATAAAGCAAATTGACAGAAATACTATATATTTTTTTGTCATAATACTGCAGTTCAATTCCCTTAATATTGAAAATGTACTATTTGTACAGACTTTCTCAGCTTTTATGTATTTACTGTGACTCTTTTGTTGTTATTGCAATGATAATAATAATAATAATAATAATAATAATAATAAATAAAATAATAATTGATAATGCCATGTGATCTGTCATGACTGCAGCAAGCTATGACCCGTATGCAGACAGTTAAAATGAAAGTAAAATAAAGTGGTCTACTAATTATTCGCTAGCACTAATGTTTTCCACATGCAACATATTGTAGATCTGTTAATGACGATATTACCGTTTACAAACTACAGGGGCACTGGCAGTTTTTTGGAGCCATAGTATCGCGGTGCTACTGAAGTACACGTAAACCGTGCAATCCTAGTAGGGACAGAGAACTCAGAAAGGTAAAGAGGTGCAGCACCATTCAGACACTTAAAACAAATAACAGTAACTTAAAATGGATCCTGAATTGCACAGGAAGCCAGTAAAGAGAAGATAAAACCAGGGTGATGTACTCGTATTTGCATGTGCCAGTTAAATCACGCAGCTGCATATACAGTTGAATTCAGATGTATTAACCCCCTGTTTATTTTTTTCCTCAATTTCTGTTTATGGAGCGAAGATTTTTTTCAACACATTTCTAAACATAACAGTTTTAATAACTCATCTCTAATAACTGATTTATTTTTTCTTTGCCGTGATGACAGTAAATAATATTTTACTAGATATTTTTAAGACACTTTTGTACAGCTTAAAGTGACATTTAAAGGCTAAACTAGGTTAATTAGGTTAACTAGGCAGGTTAGGGTAATTAGGCAACTTATTGTCTAACTATTGTTTGTTCTGTAGACTATCGAAAATAAAAAACTTAAAGGGGCCTAATATTGAGCTTAAAATGTTTGTAAAAAAATTTAAACTGCTTACATTCTAGCTGAAATAAAACAAATAAGACTTTCTCCAGAAGAACAAATATTATCAGACATACTGTGAAAATGTCCTTGTTCTGTTAAACATCATTTGGGAAATAATTAAAAAAGAAAAAACTAATTCAAAGGGGGGCTAATAATTCTGACTTCATCTGTGTGTGACACGTTAACTACATCATATGCAAAATATAAGTACATGTGCAGTAAATAAGCAATGAATTAAAAAGAGCCCATGACCAGGTCTTAATAAAGTACTGAATTTATTATTGATAGAAAAGGTTTTGCTAACTGAATAATACAAACCTTTGATTTGATCAGTGCTTGATGCAAATTCTATTACAAATAAATACAAAATACATAAATCATTCTCATTTACTTTGAAGAAACAACAATTACAAAAAATAATAATAATTACTTGATTTACAAGGCATTGTAGTGTTTTACAATTCACATGAATCAGATGCTGTGTGCATAGATACAGTATTGGAGATACAGATGTGAAAAGGCAGCTTGGTACCAGAATTAATGTGTATGCTGTAATAGAACTACTGTACATACAGTAGGAAATCAGTCCTTTTAGAAACTTATTATAAATGTGCTTCAATATTATAGACTGAATTAAAACAACAACAGTTCATGTGCTGATAAACTAACAAATAAAAATCAATAAAAAATGTCCAGAAGCTCTTCCAGGAATGATGAAACGTTAACTCTGACTCTCTAGACTAATCTGTGTTTCAGCATGTCAAAAAATATAAACTGCAGAACAAAAATTCACAGTGCAACTAATTTCATCTCTTATAATGCTAAAGAACACTTACTACAGTTTATCATTTAAGCTCAGTTGTATAATGGAAATGCTAGCAGATAAATGAGCTGAAATGTACATGTATTTATTGCAATTATGTTGTTATAATTCATTATTTTCATATCAGCGACACACTTGTACAGTGCTCATTCGCATGTACCCTAAAATGAATTGGCCTTCCTTCCACTGTGAAAGCATAAGCGCATACTTATGGTAAGCCGTTTTGACATTTAATCAATGCCCTGTATTAGTTTCTGTTTTCCTGTTACTAGTGCGCTTCCATTAAGTACTAGTACTTATTCATTAGTTACTAGTGCTTTTTCGTTAGATACTAGTGCCTAATCTTTAGATACTGGTGCTTTATTTTAGCTACCAGTGTCTTTTCTTATTCATTAGATACTAGTACCTGTATTAAATAGATACTAATACTTTTTCATAAGATACTAGTATGTATTCCTTAGATACTAGAATTTATTTTAATGGTACTTATTTATTAGGTACTAGTACTTATTAAATAGATACTAGTTCTTATTTATTAGATACTAGTATTTATTTTATAGTAACTATTCTGTTGTTACAAGTAATAAATTAAACGTTTCTCCATTGATTTCTATGGGATCTGTCATTGAGATATCAACTATTCAGTTGTGACTAGTATGTATTCCAGCTGGGACTAGTACATATTTTTATGTGTTAGTAGTTAATCATTAGATACTGGTACTTATTAATTAGATACTAGTTCCTAAACAATAGATATTAGTACTTACAGTATGTATTAGATACTAGTATCCATTTAATAGGTACTAGTGCTTGTTGATTAGATAAGAGTACTTATTAAATAGATACTGGTACTTATGAAATGGATACCACAACTTATTTAAAAAATACTCATACATATTTATTAAATAATATTACTTGTTTAATATGTCACAGGTAAAAAAATATTTTACTATTAAAAATGTATAATTGAACTATAATCTTCCATTTGGACAAGTCATAACATAAGACAAGTAAACAAGCAGAAATGACTAATAAAATAAGAATTGTTACAAGTAAAAGTTATAATAAAATACTAGTGACGATTAAATAAATACTAGTACTAATGAAAAACAACTAGTATCTGTTTAATAGTCACTAGTATTTAATGAATTTGTACTAGTACCTATTTAATAAGTACCAATATCTATTAAATAGATACTAGTATCTAATGATTAAGTACTAGTACCTAATAATTAACTACTACTACATAAAAATATGTACTAGACCCAGCTGGAATACATACTAGTCAAAACTGAATCGTTAATATACCAATGACAGAACTCATAGAAATCAATGGGAAAAAAAATAATTTGTTACTAGTAACAACAGAATAGTTACTAGGCACTAAAAAATTAGTACTAGTATCTAATATTTAAGAACTAGTATCGATTTAATACTAGTATCTAATGAATAAGTGCTAGTATCTAATACATAAGTACTAGTGTCTATCTAATAGGTAGTAGTATCTAATGAAGGAGTACTAGAAACTTTACAAAAGACACTGTAAAAGAAGCTAAAGAACAAGCATCTATAGAATAGGCACTAGTATCTAACGAATAAGCACTAGTAACTAATGAATAAGCACTGGTACTTAATGCAAAAGGTACTAGTATCTAGTACTAGTAGTAACAGGAAAACAGATACTAGTACAGGTTATTAATTAAATGGCAAACGGCTTGCCGTACATACGTATTAAGTCTAGATTGAGGAGCTGCAGTCTAAGCAGAGAATGAATCTTTTTCTTGATGCGCGATTACTCGTCTAATCTATTAGAGCGGTAATACAGGAATTATGTTTTTACATGGTTTAGACTATTAACTGTGTTTCTCATTTGCTCTACTATACTAATGCTAAACCTGATATTTATACTTTCTGTGAACTGGATTTGTTCAATGCTATATTCATATTAACCTTCTGCTAACATCTTGAGGTCCTATCGGTATCATATCAAACAACTAACAAAATGATCAGTGCTCATAATCAGTCACTGTTAGACCTTAAACCAAAATACAATCTTTTTTCCCCTCCATATGTATTTATGCATGTATTCACCTTCTCCTTATTTCACATTCTTATTTCATCTATTCACTGCTAATTATTCAAATAAAAGAAGTTTCAGTAATCTTCTAATTTAGATGACTAAATTCTTCTTCAACATATTTTACTTCCAAAGTAGAGGGATGATTAAGGCTTTTCTTGTAGAATAGGCCTGTTTTAAGGCTGTTTTATGGAATTTTAATTGAGATAATGACGGAATGTGACAGTTACAGCTTAAGGGTGGAAACCAGAAGTCTGGAGTTTCATTATCTATGATCTGTTATTTTACAGATATAAAGGAAGTTCCTCTGTATGTTCATGATGAGTGGGCAGCTTCATTCACACCTCATTCCACAGATTCCTCTCGGCGCTTCAGCAGGAACTGGTCTGTAAATTGCTCTCGGTGAGGATGGAGGTTATGCTGGAGTGATCGTACAATCCATCATCATCGTCATCGTCAGAGCTGAGCACTGAAGATTCCAGCACTGACTGTCGGGCCTGCTGAATCTTCCTCCTGAAAACAAATGACAGTAGTGTCCAGTGGTGTAACATACTATAAGCACTTCTGAGCAAGGAAAATTCAAATGTAACTAGCTTTCTTCAATAGAAATTACTTCACATTTTAAAGCTTTGTATTACATCCATCTCAAACAGATGCACGGGCCACTTTGATGCCTTAAAACCACATTTCTACAAAATCAAGCAATCAAGCAAAACAACATAATTCTCCATGTTGTGTGATTATTTTACATATCGTTTATCATTATTACTATAATAATAACAATAGCAATAATTGTTGTTGATTTTACTTCTACTACTATTATTATTATAGAAGCAGTGGTTTCCTTTGATGGTTAGCACAAGTTATGTAATGAAAACCTATTGGATTCTGTTCTGGTGACCATTAACAATTACCCCTTTTCCACCAGCAAGAACCGGGTTCAGAACTAGAGCGTTTGGTGGTTCACAGTGGGTTTAGTCTGTGAGCCTTCTAAGAACTGGTTTGCTTTTCCACAGCAAAAGAAATGCCACAGAGCCTGGTCTGTTACTGAATACGTCTCACTCTGAACACTAATGCAGAGTGAAAGCGCTAAATAAAAACACACAGTCAACAAAAGTGGATGTTGTATCACTATTAATGTTCATGGCTCTGGGATTCCACATCTGCATCCAAGCACAGTGAATACAACGTGTTTGCACAGATTTCTGTAATTTTGAACATTTGTATAGACCAACTACAAGCAAGAATAATGTGGTCAGTATAGTCGTGTTATACTGCTCTTTTAATTATGGCAGCCAAAATGGATTCGTTGGTTTTGTTAGTAATCCTGCCATAGCTTCCGACACAAATGGTTCGTAATTCTAGCAAGGGCTAGGGCTGCTCGATTATGGGAAAAATCATAATCTCGATTATTTTGGTCATAGTTGTAATCACAATTATTCAAAACGATTATTAGTTGAAGTCAAAATTATTTGCCCTTCTGTAGCACGGGCTGCACAATATTTTGTTTCAACATCATTATCGCAATGTGATCAATCGAGGTCTGTGACTGTGTGAGAGTTGTGAAAGCATTCAGACATAAAAAACTATACCGTTTGTAACTTGTGACTAATTTAATTAAAGTGTTTTTAAAACTAAGACTATACAGTATTATTTTACATTTGATTATTCAATTACTGTATACTTGAATACAGTTTGACTTCTTTTAAAAAAAACTGTTTATTTTAATTTGTATCTTTTTCTTTATTGAATTTATGTGAGCTTGTAGATGGTTTCTTATACTTTATACCTACAGACTCTCATACAGAAGCATCGAAATCAATCTAAAATGATAAATTCTTTCCAAATAGTTATTCAACACATCTAGTGAATCAGTATTCATATCACAATATACATCATAGAAAAAAAAAGAGCTCACAATGTTATGATCCACTTTCCCTGGTTCAGAGCTGTTGCTTTGAGTGTTGAAACCAGCACTCAAATTACCCAAGTGAGCTTTAATGAAAATAGGCCAATGAAAGTTAGTGAGTGAACTAGCCAGGGCAAGGTCGAGGGTCAGGAATATCACTGCACAGTCTTATCCTTTAGGCTCTCCCCTGTCTCTGTGCGTCTTTACCAAGGTCACAGAGGGTGCACTTGCACCACTACAGAAGGTAAGTTTCTGGATTCTCAACTATCTTGAAGACATACTTATTCTAACTCAGTCTCAGGAGCAGGTTATTATTGATCACAGGACTATGGTGCTCCAGTAACTTTCTGCCATCTCTGCTCATCAGGGTGCAGATGATGGAAGGATGCTTGGAATGCAAGACCTGATTATCCAGTTCATGAAAGGTGGCAGGAGGACAAACCCTCCTAGGCCTCCTCACTCTGCAAAGAGTTTTGCCTCTTTATGGACATTAGGGCATGATGCTACTATGACATTTGTACAGCAGCTACAACAGTTATGTCTTCGGGGTGCTGTGTCATCACCACATAACTCATAGTGACTGACTGAAAGAGAATGTCTCAGTTAAAGATGCAACCCAAAGGAGGAAATGGAGGTGTTATGTCACGACAACCACAATCCTGAACTCCCAGCTAAATACTGACCTCTGGGGCTTAATTTCTTAGCAAATATCTCATCGAGTGACCGCAAATTTGTATGTTTATTGCAATATCAGCTTCTCTGGCTATTTTATGGCAAAACCAGATCAAGTTTACTGTATTTCTAATAAAATTAGGAATAATAATATCAACATCAAAATATCATTAATAATATCAATAATATCAAAAACTACAATTTAAAAAAAAAAAAAAACACATAATCAATATTTAATCATTGGATCACAAATTTAAAAAATAGAAACCATTGCCTTAAGATAGATAGAATTACTTTAAGAGACACACACTGCTCTCTGCAGGCCTTACAGAACATTACTCTATAAAAGTTATTTAAAGATAGTTTTTTTTAAACATGAACTATTATATTTGACTTCGCATATATTACTCTTATCTTCTCTCTTAGTCCCACACACTCACTTGAGTTCATTCTCTAGCGCTGTGACTCTGGACTGCAGCGCCTCCTTCTGCTCCTGCTGCTCCTCCATCTCTCTGATGGCCTTCCTCCTCAAGCCCTCCAGACGCTCCGCCTCTGCCTCTCCTTCATCCACCTGCCGTTTCAGAGCCTTAACACGCAGAGTCAGCTGGAGGAACACAGATGCATTAAACAAGCTTCCCACGGGTCATGGAATTTCAGGAATATCATAGAATTTTTAACATTTTAAAAACTTTATTCCACACATTTAAAGCCAAATTTTAAATAAATGTATTTATTTAATTATTATGTTTTTGTTTTCTAAGTCATGGAATATCAGAGATATTTTGTGTATTTTTAAATGTTACCTCCCACTTATCAAAAGGTAGCATTTCTGTGTAGATGAGCAATGTATACCCGAATTTAATGTTATTTAATATAAAACTATGCAGATGGTATGGTGGGAATTTGATCTGCATAATCTGCATAAATACAAAAAATGCAAGATCAATGATTTTGATATGATTTTTTTATATTTAGATTTTTGTGTTAAATACAGCAATTGCTTGCTATAAAAACAATTACATTTTTTAAAAATAAAAATCAATAAATTCTGGAGAAACTACTCAACACAATAATTGCCTGTTTTTCTATTCATTATAGGTCAAGATTTCAAGTCACGTAAAAGTCATAGAATTTTATGTTTGTTTAGAGTGGAAACCCTGATTAAAAACCCTCAAACACACAGAGCTTCACACACTGCTCATTATGTGTTCATATTCTGTATGTATTATTCACCTGGTCTCTCTGCTCTGTGTGCTGCTGTCTCTCCTCATCCAGAGTGATGTTCAGTTCCTTTAGCTTCCTCTCTATCCGGCGCTGAGAGGAAACCACAGAGTTCTTCTCTCTGAAAAAAAAAAAAAAAAAAGTAAATATGTGTTTGAACTTCAGAATGTCTGGAAGTTAATGTGTGAATATTTAGGTCCAAAAGCACTGAATGTGCCAGCACTATATTAAAGCCATTTGAAAGTTTAATGATTGACAGATGAAGTGGTTACATTTAAGTTCACGTCAACACTTCTTTCCACCGCACCTATCAATCACTATGCTTTAATTGACCATTGGATATGCATGTTGTAGGCCTGCACAAACAAGAAAGTTGATTTTTATGAACATTTTGTTAGTTAAACCAGTTCTGTAATCAGCTGTTAATCTCAGATTAATGCCAGATGGAGTAGTGTTTACTACACACAGCCTTCACTGACAAACTATGCAAAATTAGCAAATGATTTAATCGGCACTATTCTGAAACCAAAGATAATTATCCTGTGATTAATCAGCTGTTTGTGTCGACACTTTATGGCTCTATGTTGCTGCTAATCTGAAAATACATGAGAATACTACATTTCATAACATATTTGGTATACATAGAGATTCACAACTGACCACAGAGCTTTCCTTCTCAACAAGATGTGCATGACAATCACAACTTTTGCTAAATTGCGGTTTTAATTTAAAGGGCACCTATTTTCCCCATTTTTTTACGATTTAAGATGAGACATTTGTGTCTCCAGAATGTGCCTGTAATGTTTTGAGCTCAAAACACCCATCAGATTATTCATTATACCTTTCAGAAGTTTGTAATTTTCAGCTCTGAGCATCTTGTTGCATGTGCCTTTAATGCTTGCTATCCCCACCCACCGTTCCCACTTGCCTGTCAGAGTGTGCCTCAGTCTCTGGCTGCGTCGAATAAATGGCACAGTGACAGACATAAAGGAAGCAGATCTCAAGTAACGTTTGTAAGAAATACTACAGTACTTTTGCAATGATTATTTGATGTATTTGTTGTGAAGTTAATTCAAGCCTTTTGATGAGTCACACACACAATGTCATTGCCAAGTTCAAGCACACATAGACACACATGCACAGTGCGCGCATTTAAATTTGCACTGTTTTTGCACGGCAAATGTGACAGGATATACATTAATATCCACTGCTGTATAGATATCTGTTATGTCGATGTACAAAATAAACCTGATTTACGTCCACAAACAGGGATTGAAGCGTCTTCTTTTATAATTGTACTGACACGAGGATGTTGTTACAAAAATAGTAAAATCGCTGTAATTCATTGCAAACATGCACTGTTTTAAAAATGTTTTTAACTTGTAAAACTTATTCTCGATCACATTTGATGATGATTAATGATCAAAGTGACCCTAACAAATCTTTTAATCCCAGTTGCTTTGTGCACGTCTTGTTTTGTTGATATGATTATACATATTACTACAGAGACATGTTAATACGTGGTTGTCAATCGATTCGGTGGGCGGGCAGACCGTAGTCCTACGTCCAGTTGCGAGGGGCTTAAAATGGGAGGGATTTGGATTTTATTTTAATGTCCGAAAATTTTAAAAAAAAAAGAAACTTATTGTCTGTATACCACCCCAATATGACTGTGGACACACTATACCTACACTTACTTCTGTCCAAACAGGTTCTAAAAGGGAATTTTTATCATAGGTGCCCTTTAATTTTGATTTATCTTGCAGCCCTTGCGTGTAGTGTTTGGTTATGACATATTATACAACTAAATGATCTCCAATATGATTTGTTAATTTGTTCACAAATATATCAGTGATACATCAGGACATTATAAGGAGTTATATTTGATACTTGATCAGATTTAGATTCTGCCAATTTAATAAAAAAATCACAACTGACAAAACGCAAACAAGTAGAAGTATTCACAATCTACTTTGAAGACTGCAGTCTGTGTATTTTCTAGCAATGTGGAGTGCTTTCAATTAAAGAAAAGTGCTTTTCTCAAGCGTTCTCCAGTACTTTGTGAGTAATGTAATTGTTTCTGCCACTTCATGTTAGTGGGTTAAAATCTGCAGTTCAAAAGTCTTTTTTTAACCTCTCTTCTGTGCGCAGTCGTTCCTCGAGTTCCTGGATTTTGCTCTCCAGCTGTGAGACACCAGTGGAGGAACGTGACTGGCCTTCCATCTCAGCTACACGAGTCTTATACTCCTTTATCTGAAAGAAAAAAAAATAAAGCAGATTAAATGAAACCCTGTGGCCAATTTGAATTAAAGCACCGTGAAGTTACACGAGCCTAACTCTTATCACGTGTTCGCACAGAAACTCAGGCAAGGAAAATGCAGCATACAGTACGAGATGAATCTATAAAACTGTTCAGCAGTTATATAATGTACCTGTCTCTCCAGAGCGTTTTTGTCTAGCTCCAGGTCTTGTTTGGAGGATCTCTCTTGCATGAGTTCTGCACGCAGCTGTTCAATCTACAGAAGATTATATCAAAACATTAACATTGCATCAATGTGATATCATTTACTAATCACTTCTGTTCAGATTGTCGGTTCAAATTCCATTATTTGTGTATGTGACTTCAATCTGAATGTCTGACTATCCACAGTACATTGCAAGTGTCCATATCTAGTTTGTCTTGCCATGATGCTGCAGGTGTTAGGAATACTGCAAAAACAGCAACGAAAAATGGTTATGCAATACAGATGTTGTGTTATGTCATGACAACATTGCCATTTGTCTGGATTATTACATCTTATGAGGCATTACATCTTATGCAAATACTGAAGAAAGCTGACAAGCACAGCTTTACTCCTTGCTGCTGTTCCTGATGACCTCTACATTCAAACTGTGTACACAAACCAACCTATTGTACTTTAGCTTTATATTCCACTGGCACTCCTAACAACACATGCTTGTTTTTGTAATAACATGAAGAGCATTTTCCACAAACACTGTCAAGTGCTTACATTATTTACAGTAGTGAAAGTGAAAATTAGGCAAAAATCAGAACAGACTGGTCAGACCAAAACTGGTCTTGTACAGTTTGAATAGTATTTAAAATATTTTCTGTCATTTGGCATTTCAACTTCCTAAATATTTCAGATTCAATTTGGATAGGTGCAAAATTCACATTTGAACTGACAGTTCGAGCAAGGCTTTAGTTCAATGTGTCTCGTTAAGAATCTTTGTGAGTTTGCTTTTCATGTTTCCAGCTCTGATTTGTTGAGACACAATGGTAATAACAATATCTGCATTTAATTATAGGTCAAAAAGCAATAGTGCAAAAGTGTACATAATTTTTAATACAACATAAAACAGTTACAATTTTAAAAGGTAACTGTCTAAGATCTTAAAAAATGTTAAATTTAAAAATGTTTATAAATTTAAAATGTCTTTTTTCACCAGTATTTAAAGGTTAAACGAGCCTCACATACATTTACGTTTACATTCACACTATTGTTCAGTATCATATCTTCATTGTTACTTTGCTAACTTACAGCATTTACATATTTTTAAAATAATAACCACAAGATTACAAAATGCATACAATCTTTTTAAAACAATGATTGCGAGCTCAATTAAAAAAGCTTGAAAATGTACATTTGTGCAGTAGTTACGTTTTTCTTTTTATTATGGACTTGCACTACCAGAAAAAAAGTCTTGTCTCTGGTCTAAGTTTTAGGAACAACAAATAATAACTTGACTTCTAGATGATCATTCGGTATAAGAAGGGGCTTATATGAAAGGCAAAGGCCTCTAGATTATGCTTATTTTACCAAAATTAAATATAATTATGCCTCGACTTTTGATTCTTTTTAATTATTTCATTAGGACAGTACTTTGCTAAGACAAAAGTATTTTTACTTAACAGAAATAATGTACAGTATAGAATGAAAAGTCATGGTGCAGTGAAGAAAGAATTAATATTTGCCATCCACTCTGCAGATCTCTCACACACCCTCATACTGAATGTAACCCCAAACCATGATTTTTTTTCACCAAATGTGACTGATTTCTGTGAGAATCCTGGATCCATGGGGGTTTCAATAGGTCTTCTGCAGTATTTGTGATGTTTAGGATGGAGTTCAACAGATGATTCATTGAGGAAAAAAAAAAATTGACCTTCTACTACTGTTCCAAAATATCAACTAGAAGTCAAGTTATTATCTGTTGCTCTTACAACTGGGATCAACGACAAGACTTTTCTCTGGTAGTGTATACTGATAAAGGGCTAGTTTATCCAAAAATTTCAATTCTGACTGGTTGTAAAATTTCTTCTGTTGAACACAAAACAATATATTTTGAAGTATGTTGAAAAAAGCCGCCATTCGCATCCATAGCAAGAACAAACTAAATACAATGGAGGTCAATGGCTGTTTTTCCCCCAACATTCTTCAGTGCATCTTCCTTAGTGTTCAACAGAATAAAAGAAACTCAAATAGGCTTGTAACAAGTGCAGGATGAATAAATTACTGAATATTCAGTTTTGGGTCCCAAAAATGTTGAGTGTACTAAATATAATGTACCTGATCTCGGCTCCTGGTGATTCTTTCTGTCAGCATCTCTGCACTGTTCTTCTCCTCATCCAACTCGAGCTCCAAATGCTTGATTTTGTCCTGCAGGTGGAGACAAACATGACATATAGTCAGGAGAATCACTCTGATCTCCCAGACAGCAGATGTGAATGTGAAACACACACAACACACACACACACACACAACACACACACAAACACAACACAAACACACAAACACAACACACACACAAGCACCATACAAACACACATACAAACACACATACAAACACACATACAAACACACATACAAACACACCTCTAAACTGCGGATCTCTCTTGAGCGGTCGTTTTGTGTGTTGCGCTGAGTCTCCATCTCACTCTCCAGATGTTTGAGGCGGTTGGTGAGCATCTCTTTGTCTAATAAAGCGTTGTCTCTTTCCTCATAACTGGAGAACAGCTCTTTCTTTACACGGCCCAGCTGAAAAATCATTAATATAGCAGGATAACAAAGGGATGACTTATTACATTATACTGGCTAAATCAAAGAATGAATCAGGGTTTCCATGCTTTCATGAACAGCAGATTCAAGGACTTTCAACAACTTTTTAAAGCACCATTCATTTTAAATCAAGCACCTTTGTAATTTTAACTCCTGCATATGTAGCTCCATAAAAGCCCTTACTGCACTTTACATTTCACATACACTTATTTTTACATTAAAACATTTGGTTTTAAATAGCAGAGTTCAAAGAAGTTTAACAAAATTAGTTGAATTTAATACTGGTAATACTCGTTGAAAGACAGTGTCTGAAATATTGCTATTGCATTATTTGTCAGTTTTATTGTACAAGAATTAAATGTATTGTTTTATAACAATTTGAGAATTTAGTTTTTTTTTTGTTCTTTAAGTATTGAGTCTATATGTTAAAAAATAACAATTTCACATTTAATTCAAGAACTTTCAAGGACCTGTGTTTGTTTAAGTACTTTCCAGGCCTTGAATCCGTATGTCTGAATTTCAAGTACTTTAAGTAATTTCAAGAAGCATGGGAACCCTGATGAATATTTGTGCAAGGTAGAGTTGTGTGAAACAGTTAAAAAGTGACATCGCAATTTCATCAAGAATTTCTTCTATGATTATAATACATAATATTTTGCTGACCGTGTTATTGTTTTTATTTTTGCTTTTATATCAGACAGAAGTAGCATCTTTCTTTAGTTGTGATATCTCACAGTATCTGACCATTGCTTGTTTAAAACTACAACTTGAAACCTTGAAAAAAAATGTGCCTTGAAAACTGTAAATATATTGTATATACTTTGACACTTTAAGGGAAGTATGAGACTAGATGTCAGTTTGTTTCATATCTGTTTGTATTCTGTTTTGTTTAAAAGAGTTTACTTGTTTTCTTTATGTTATGATACATTTTTAGTAGTTAAAATTTATGCATTTTGTTTGCTATTCCCAGATTCTTAGAAAGAAAACTAAGTATCTTTTATAGGCATCTCTGTGATCTTTTTCACATCGTTTACCTTTTTTCATTACCTTTTTAACCTCCTTTTTTGTAAAAGTTTCCCCCTAGAGGTCATAACAAAACTTTGGTACTAATTTGTTTTGTTTAAAAAAAGACAATGATGTGTCTAAAATGTAACCTTTTCAGTGTTAAATTTTTGTTTAACTGTTGTCTAAAATCAATATCCCACTTGCCACTGTACCGGGGCAGACATTTATGAAAACAACATTTGCTCTATTAATTAATTATACCATATTCTATAATTATCAAGTCAAAAAACATTTACAGGAATATTTTTGGATTTCACCACTGACATAAACTGTGCATGCCTTTAGCCTCTTAAGCTTTGTTTGTTTGTTTTTGCAAAGTGAATGACACTCACTAATTTCAACTTGTACACTGTAAAAACAACAATTATGACATCACCACAGACTGTAAATATGGCACAGCCCTAGTGTTAAAGCCAGTGTGTCACCCACCTCCTCCTGCAGGGAGTGGATGGTGCTCTGGGCTTTATCCAGCTCACTGAGCTTCTCTTTGGTGATTTTCTGTGAGTCCTGCTGCTCTTTCCTCCACTTGTCTCTCTGCTCGTCTAGCTGAGCTTGCAGGAGCCGCATTTCCTCACGATGTGTAGCAGACAAGCGCTCCATCTAACACAGGAATGGAGGGAAAGGAAAAAAACAGAAAAGGTAAGAACAAAGTAAAATGAAAAACTATTTAAATTAGTCTTGCATGTCGATGAGGACATACCTCTTTATTAAGTTTGTCTAGCGCTCTCTCCTGCTGTCTCCTCTGGTCATCGAGCTGCGTGTTCTCCTTACGGACAGTGTCTCTGTCCTTCTCCTTCTCTTCCAGATTACGGGCCAGCTCATCTCTCTCCAGGCTCAGCCTGGAGCTCTCTCGCCTGGCCTCCTCCAGCTGCTGCCTCAGTTTCCTGGCCTCCTCCTGCTGCTCCTGCTCAGCCTCAAAACTCTGAGACATGCGTTCCTGCAGCTGAGACTACAGATTGACACAGGGCATACAATGAACACTAGACAAAATGATAAAAATTCAAAACAGCAAGTGTAGAAAATGTGTTTCTAGGCAGTTGTCAGCTAACTTCCATTAGTCTTAACAACGACACAAAATGCAATGTGGTTAAGCATGAGAATTCAAATTTGTAGTTTTATTCATACTGCAGCAGTGTGATCTTCTAACTGGAGCAGTTCATGTTTCTTCAGTGTCTCAGAGTGACTTAGTTTTCAGTAAAGGTAGATAACCCAAAATAAATATTTTTTTTTACAGGACATGTATTTGAAGATGCAATATGCACCAAACAAGTTTGCAATAAGAGTGGATTGCAAATCTGATGTAATCAAAAAAACATGCATTCGTGGAGAGATGATTCTTGTGGTCAAATTCAAATTAATATTTAAAAAAAATTAATTAAATAAATGGCAAAAGCAGGCGTCATGGTGGTGCAGTCGGTAGCACGATCACCCTAAAGCAAGAAGGTGGCTGGTTCAAGCCCCGGCTGGGTCAATTGGCATTTCTGTGTGGAGTTTGCATGTTCTTCCCGTGTTGGGTTTCCTCCGGGTGCTCCGATTTTCCCCACAGTCCAAAGACAAGCGGTACAGGTGAACTGAATAAGCTAAATTGGCCGTAGTGCATGTGTGTGAATGCAAGAGTGCATAGGTGTTTCTCAGTTTTGGGTTGCAGCTGAAAGGGCATCCGCTGCATTAAAACATAAGCTGGATAGGTTGGTGGCTCATTCCACTGTGGGGAATTATTAGTAAAGCAACTAAGCCCAAATGAAAATGAATGAATTTATGACAGGGCAAAAGTATTGGAAATTTCTTTTTTTTTATATTATTATTATTATTATTATTATTATTATTATTATTATTATTATTATTATTATTATTACAATCATTATTGTCCTTAATTATTATTAAGGACAATCAATCAATCAGAAATCATGTGAAATGCAATCTGCATGTTTTTTTTTTTTTATTAAATCCACATAGTTTCATGGCCAATAAATCTGTCTAACACAATTCCTGGAGGGCCACAGCCTGTTTAGTTCCAAGCCTGCTCCAACACACTTACCTGTATGTTTCAAACAAGCATGAAAGACTCAACTATTCTGATCAGGTGTGTTTAATTAGAATTGGAACTAAACTGTGCAGAGCTGTGGCCCCTAAAGATCTGAGTTCGATACATGTGCTCTAAGGTAACAAAAAAAAAAAAAAAAATTGCATTATTTGCAACAAATTTTTGCAGTGTAAAATGAGGCACAAAAGCTGGGTAAAAATTAGACCAATTTTTTTTGCATGCAATAGGACAGAACTTCAGCTCGACTGGAAGCAAATAAAAAGAAAAAAAAAAAGAGAGAGGAGAGATGAGTTTGGGAAAGGTCTGCATCTTAACCTCTAGGCGTGTGATTCTCTCCTTCATACGCATGTTGGTTTCCTCCAGTTCCGTATGCTCCAGCTTCAGATTGTTGACTTGAATTTGAGCAGAGCTGAGTTTGTCTTTCTCTGCCTGCAGCATTTCTTCAGTGGAGATCAGCTGACCTCGCAGTCGACCTGCCTCCTCTTGCATGTCACTCAACTCCTTCCGCAGGGCCTCCACCAACGAGGGTTCAGCAAGCTGTCAGCGTTAAGTAAAATCATTAAGTAGAACACAGAAACCAGGCGTTTTATGACATCATAACTTTTAACAACAGTGTACCTGCTTTGCCCTCTCATGAGCCTTTGTGAGCTCTTCCTTATCTCTTCGTGACTGACCCTTCAATCGGTCAATCTCATATTTCTGCTCTGCTTCAAGCTCTTGTTTGCTCTTCTTTAATAACACAATTTCCATTGTCTTCTTGTCAAGATCAACCCTTAATTTATCCATATCTGCCTGGGTCTTCTGCAGGTCAGCACGACATCGTTCAAGTTCCTATAAAAACACGACGAACACCTTGAGTCTCAGTGAGAGAACATTTATGAATGGAATATTTATATTCCTACATGTGTTTATGTATGTACCTGGCTGACCGCCTGTGTCTGTTTAGGATCTGGCATCTGCTGTTTCATTGTGTTGACTTTCTCCTGCAGATCATTCAGCTCCTCCTCAAACTCTTCTTTCTCCAGACGTGACTGGAGTAATCTAACATACATAAGTTTGTATTTACATTGTACCACAAAACAGTTTAACTGAGTGATAACCAACATTTATATATTCTGCTGTAATAGCAGCTATTTAAAAATGTATTAGAACTTCTCATTATAGTGATCCTTGTATTTCCTCGTACTGTTCAAGTAGTTAAACTCTTGATTTAGGGTTAGGAGCCACCTTAATATGATAAAAGATTATATGCACATTTTATTACAATCAACATCAATAAGGATGTCATCTTGCTGTTACAGGCAGGCCATTAAGAGATTGATAAATTAGCTTAGTATGTGTTTAAATTAGCAGATTAGCAGCTTTATTCTAGGATTTATTTCTCAATGTTTGAGTATTGGTAATGATGAACTGAAGATGATCATATGAGTTATGCCAAACCGCAGGCATTACAATGTTCTGTTTGGTTACAGTGTGTATAAGATTGAAAAAGGAGTTCCCTCAAATATATTGAGGATTTATTGGGATAGTTCACACAAAAACACCCTCATGTGAGAGTTTGCTCCCTCACATTTTTAATTATGCAACAAAAAGCTTGTGCCGACCAGAAAAAAACATGTAAATAATGTTCAGTTTCTTTCACAGATGCATCATTTTATTTCATGAGACATCAATGTAACATCATCAAGAGCTGAGGGTATTTATTTTATTTAGCTTGGGGATGCACCGATACCATTTTTTGGAACCGATCCAATCTCAATACCAAAACTCTGGGTATCAACCGATACAGATACAATCCCAATACTGGTCTGTTAAATATAATATTGATTTAAATAATATTACAGTGAAATATTCACAGATTCAGAGTAGCCTATATTAGGCTAAATAATAATGGCAATCCATATTGCGCCCATCAGATTCACTTAAATTAATTTAATAAACTACTTTGACTGCAATGAGCCAGGCTTTACAAACTATTCGCAGCAATCAAAGCATTCCCCTCGGAAGAATAAACTTAGTCGGAAGGATAAGACAATAGAAATTTATTGTGAGAATAATTTTACGGAGCAGTGCACGCCGTGTCTTTGCAGCCGGATGCTTGAATTAAGCTACTGATGCATCACTGAGACAGTGTGCAGCCTTCCGCTATCAGCAGACACTTTTAAAACTGAGCGCCACAAAGGAAAGAAATCAGTGTGTTGAGGATCTAATCAATGTATTTTTAAGACTTTTCTAATTAAAAATTTCAGGTAGGCCTACTTTGTGAGGGAAGAGCAGGTAATAATGACCTCTAGTCCAGTATTGCAAATGCAAACTGCTGGTCTAACACACACAGCGCAACATGATTTAGAAATAGCAACTCCTTGTTGCAGGTCAAAATGAAGCCATTTCATGCTAAACTAAATGCATTTGTCGACTAGGCATGGCTGGTATAAGATTCTGATGGTATGATAACCTTAAATATAAATATCAAGGTTTCACAGTACTTTGTACACAAGATATTGTAATTTGAGAAACATTTAAAATATTTTGTAGCAGTAAACATGTCAGGCTAAATAATTATGGACTTCTGCTGTCTTCATTTGTTTCAAAAACAGATTTTTTTACAATTTAAAACGGCAACTTTGGAGATTTTTTTCTGCTGGAGATACTGTTAAAAAAAGTAAATAAAAAAATCTTACTCAAACCTTAGGAATGGTATAGCAGAAAATTTTGACTGTTTTAAAACCTTACTTTTTTTAAACTGCCGTATACCTTGAAAACGGTTATTGTCCCATGCCTATTCTCCACTGATTATTCAGATTAACAGGAACAAATAGTCTTGGAGAAAGTTTTTCATGTTGTCATAAATTGTGAACTATTGGAGAATGACTGACAGGCACAGAGGAGGGGAACACTGAACTGAACTTAAATTTAACCAGTTGAATATTCATCTGTACTTCACATTAAGCCATAGAATAGCTTCAGAACATTTGGAAAATAGTAGGCCTACATGACAATTTTCTAGTGCCTTGTAATAGGCTACCTTCATGGCTTTGCTGGCTATAAGTTACACAGAATATAGTGCCCATGCAAGATCGAATTTGGTTCGGTACCAGCTGGCCGATACCAATTCCACCAAAAATATGCAATATCGAAACGATATTCGATACTGTTAAGTGTTGTCTGATAAGTGTTGAGATCGGGCATCCCTAATTTAGTCCATACAGTATGTTCTTCTGACTGTCATTGAATCAGTAGCTAATCACTAAGGACCAAAGTCTAAGATTTTTCTTTTTAGCAAAAAAATGCCTTCTACATTTTGCATGATCTAAGGATAAGTAAATTATCTCTGAACACAAGTGTTCGGGTGAACCATCCCATTAACGCTTAGAAAATTATGATTTATTTCAGATTAAATCAACAAAGTATTAGTTTAAAATTAGGGTTGTGGGCTCTACAAATCAAACAACAAGTACTACAGGGTGCAATCACATCTCTACAAGTAATTCTACAATTTTCTCTCAGTTACTCAGAGCGTATCTCACTCTGCTTTGGGTTGAACCAGCTGTCCACTGCACCGACAAAATGCGCACAATGGAAAAAAAGAAGGCATGTACATGCATTAACCCAAATCAAATGCAAAACCAATTAAATAGTATACTTTATACTTTAAGTAGTCTAAGTGTGACTCACTCTTGTTTGGTGTTACGCAGCTCTTCTCTGCTGGACTGGAACTGCTCTCTCCAGTGGTTTCCTTCATCTCTGCTCTCCTCCAGTTGCTGCTGAAGAGACCTTAACGTAGAGTTTACACGGTGGCGCTCGGCTTCAATAGTTGCCTGAGACTAAGACACAGAGATACTGATGTACTTATGTGCAACAGGATTCCTTCACAAAGTAGTTTAAATGTACAATACTCCCATGCCTATATAGCTTTAAAACGGGTGTTCCCCAGGGGTTAGTCCAGGACCTGTCTGAGTTTTTTTTTTTTTTTTTCAAACTATTGGATGTGTACCTGTGACACCTGAGCCATGCTTGTTCGCAGTTGTTCCATGTCTTGGCTGTACTGCTCTCTGAGAGCCTCTATCTCCTTGTCATGGGTGGAGACCTCATCTTTTAATGCCCCCTTCAGGGCCGTCAGCTCCCTCTCTCTTTGCCTCTGAATGTCCTCCTGCTTTTGTCTCAGCACTGCAGCTTCATCCAATTCAGCTCTCAATGCCATCAATTCCTGTACACAAACAAATAATAACATTTTAAAATTAAATTTTAATACCTGCTTTGGTCAGCAGACAACTGTATGAAGTACAGTTAAAGTCAGAATTATTAGCCTTCTTGAAATATTAGCCTTCCTTTTTCTCCCCAATTTGTGTTTAACACAAAGAAATTTATTTTCTAAAGATAATAGTTTTAGTAACTTATTTCTTATAACTGACTTCTTTTATCTTTGCCATAACATATTTTACCAGATATTGTTCAATATACTAATATTAAGCTTAAAAGGACACATATTTTACCCCCTTTTCAAGATTTAAAGGGCCATGAAACCCCCTCGTTTCAGCAGTGTGTTTTCACACCTCTACTTTGGAAAAAGTCAGAAAAGTGGGCGTGTCCAGCTCTGTTTAGGGGGGAGTGTCGGAGGAAGAAAAGAGGCTTGGTATGGGAGTGTCTATTTGGGCGCGCTGAATTTCAGAGTCAAAACACACACCCACAGCGGACAATGTGACTGAGTTTACATGGACATCTGTAGTCGAATTATTTGCCAAATTATTAAATGGTGGACTTTACCTGCAGTTTGGCTCTTTCATTCAGGGAATTCATTAATGTCCCTTCCGACAAACGTGATATTTGATTCGAGGAACTGCTCTAAGCGTGTATTTTCATGCAATGTTTGATACCGCACGGCGAATGAGAGAAAAAAAAACTCAGCATTTCCCGGAAACTTAGATGCACACGGCAGGTAGCGTCAGAAAGCCGCATGTGTTATTCCAGTCACAAAATCCAACACGAGGTTATAGTTTGGTTGTAACTGTTAGTGCTAACTATTGTACTCGGTGCAATAGTTTGTTTGATACGAATAAAATACGAACTGAATAAACAAAGAGCACTGGTCGCTCACTTACCAAATCTGTAGAGACAGGACAATCACCAGCAACTAGAGCCGCGTCTTTATTTAGAGGAGACTACAATCTGGATCTCAGCGTTTGCAGATGAGAACAGCTCTCAGGTAAACAATAATCCTCCTTAGACACGTAAGTTATTGTTGTCGCGCGTCGCGTACACTGTTAATCCACGCGTGAGTCTGCGCTCTCACAGAGAGAAAATGAAAACGAAACTTAACTGCAGCAAACTATAAAAGCAACACTTCATGCTTGTTTTGCCAACACAACGTGGCGTCTTTGCCGTCTACACTGTGACAGTAATGAATATTAATGAAGTTGCACAATAGAGCGCGCTGATTGGTTTGAACCAAGCCTTACTCATGCATTAATGCAACACACTGTAAGACGTAATAAGACTCACTCTGGCATAGACGCCCAGTCTGCACGCTGGAATACAGCGCTATTATGTCATGACCGTGACGCAGCTTCAAAAATTTGTTTCAAACAGGAAGTACGAATTTGCTTGAAATAACGCAAAAACAACCAATTTACACTTTTTAGTGAAATATAGGTGTCCTAATAGTGTTTTTAGCAGTGTGGGACACATATACGACTGTCAACAGCTCAAAAAATGTGTTTTGGTGTTTCGTGACCCTTTAAGATAAGTCTTTTGTGTCTCCAGAATGTGTCTATAAAGTTTTAGATCAAAACACCCATCAGATTTTATAGTATACTTTTCTGAATATGGGAAATTTGATCTGTTAGAACAGGGGTGTCAGTCGGTGTCAGTTGGAGGGCCGGTGTCCTGCATATTTTAGTTCTAACCCCAATTAAACACACCTGAACAAGCTAATCAAGCTCTTTCTGGGTATACTTGAAACTTCCAGGCAGGTTTGTTGGAGGAAGTTGGAGCTAAACTATGCAGGACACCGGCCCTCTGGGACAGAGTTTGGACACTCCTGTGTTAGAACATTGTAGCTGTTTTTGTTGCCTGTGCCTTTAATGCAAATGAGCTGGTTCTCCCCGCCCACTGTTCCCATGTGTGTTTCTGAGCCATAGACATCTCTCTGTATTGCTCTGAAGGGTACAGCCTTCACCAGCTGCCTCTCACGTAGATAAACAGCACAGTGACAGACAAGAATGAAGCACATCTCCTTTACTACAGTAGGAACTCTCCCAATGGTTATTTGATGTATTTGTTGAGGAGTTAATTCAAGCCTTTCTACAACGAGTCAAACACAATGTTGTTACAAAATTTTCATGCACATACACACACACACACATATACATATGTATAACTTCACACTGTTTTTGCTTGGCAAATGTGACAGGATACATGTTAATATACACTAATGTAAGTATGTTAATACTATGTATGTTAATACTATGGAGACATGTTAACACGCAGCTGTCAATTCATTTGGAAGGCGTGTAAAACTCAGTCCTATGTTACGTTGCAGTGGGCCTCAAAATGGGTAGGATTTAGATCCTATTTTAACGTCAGACAATAATATTAAAAAACAAACAAAAAAAAAAAAACACTTTTTGTCTGTGTATCACCCCAATATGACAGTGGACACACTATACCTACACACAGTTCTGTCCAAACAGCTTCTAAAAGATGATTTTCATCATTGGTGCCTTTTAAAGTGCAATTTGAAGGCTTAATCAGGTTAATTAGGCAAGTTAGATTGATTAGGCAAATCAATTAAGGGGTTTAATAATATTGACCTTAAAATGGTTTTAAAACATATCAAAACTGTTTTCTTCTAGCCTAAATAAAACAAATAACACTTTCTCCAGAAGAAAAAAAATAGTATAGGGAATACTGTGAACAATTCCTTGCTTTGTTAAACATTTGGGAAAATATTTGAAAAATAAAAAAATAAAATAAAATTCACAGGAGAGCAAATAATTTTGACTTTCACATGTTTTAAAAAGATAAACATATTCAAATGATTTGATTTGTCATAAATTTGTTTATCTGTTAGTTGTGACCATTTTAGCCTTTCTCTGGGGTGTGTGTGTGTGTGCTTATGTGTGTGATTACCATGTGCATTGTGTCAGCTTGAGCTTTGTTTTCAGTTTCTCTCCTCAGCTCCTCCTGCAGTCCTGCCAGCTGATCCTCCAACTCTCTAACATGAGACTCTGCGTTCTCTCTGTCCATACGTAACTGAGTAAGACTGAGGAAAAAAAGCACACAAAAACAACATGGGTTAACTATAATTAATGCTGAAGGTTTTATTAACTGTAGATGTCTGAATGTTTATAATGGCAAACAAATGTATTTCTTCTTACTCTGAATGTGTTTGGTGCAGTTCTGTGTTCTTCCTCCCCAGCTGTTCCTGCAGCTGGATATTTTCATCCAGACATTTCTCAAGCTCATGTTTTAAGGAGTCATCAGATCTGCTTGCCTGAAATCCGAGAGAGAATAGATTATATGACTGCCTTCATAAGATTAGATATCAATTTTCTCACGTTTACTTTCCCCTTTTAGATGGTGAAAGATGTTTAGGATATTTAAAAATAGAGATCATAATATTATTGTGCTTTTACAATTTATCCTTTACTGCTTCAAATGTCAATAACTGCTTGCAGCATTTCATGATATAATACTTCGGTTAAGGTATACTTTTTTGTCCCAAGGCGAATTTCTGCATCACAAAAAAATGACAAAAGTAGCAGTACACAATATAAAAACAAAACAATAAATCTAACGTATTAAAAACCTCCATATGATATAAAATGAATAAATAAAATAAAATAAAATAAAAAAATAAATAAATAAACAAACTAACAAACAAAACAAATAAATGAATAAATAAATTATATATATATATATAAATAAATTATTTAATTTAAAATAATTAAAAGAATATAAACTTGCAACAGGGGAGCCGTTTACAAATATCTAGGTTTTAAATGTACTGTAGATGCTAAAATCTCTGACTGGAAAGAACATTTCTTAGAAGTGCATAATAAACAAACTGACATCAAGTGTTTCCCTTGTTTTGCCCATTCCACACAGTCTGTGAGTGGCAGGCAGGGCCGACCATGTGGGTCAAACAGTTTTCATGTAAACAAGGCATTACCGGATTATGCTCCAATTAGTCCCAAAACACTATAATCCAAGTCCACTTCTATGACAGTATATAAAGTAGACAACAGAGCAGTCATTAGAGGATTGCTACCCATTGAGACATAATAAGCTTGAGTATTTAATCCTGTGTAAAGATCACTATTCCAAACAATTTCTCAATAAATAAAAAGACATTTATGCTTTCAAGAGAACATTACTTAAAGTTAAATGTTTATAAGAATTAAAATACCAGCCGTTAGGATACTTTTACAATTTGTAAATTAAGAAATTATTATTTTGAATAATATTCTACATGGCACAACAATAAAAAATGGTTTCAAAATGTTAAGATTATTAGTTGTAGTAGTCGTAGTAGTAGTAGTAGTAATTATTTTTATACAACATAACATTTATGTGTGTGAGTGTACGTATGTGTTTAATTGTATTTTTCTGAGTAAAGATCACGGCTAAGTTTACAACTGTCATGTAGCATATTATCAAAGTGTTGTTTTTTCAGGCATATTTAGAAAAAAAAAAAAAACTCACTTGAAAATATACTAAAAGTAGGGCTGGGTGATACGGCAAAAATGCAACCTCAACAATTATTTTCCATATTGAACGATAAAAATACAGCTGTTATAACATTTCTAACAAAATGCATCACAAATAAAATTGTAGTTTGTTTCAGGAGTTTGAAGCAACTTGCCAAACCATTTTTAAACCATTTTAAATACGTTTTAAAGATCTCAGCTGCCCACATCATCACCAAAACTACTTCTTTTCACCATATCACCCCTGTTTTGCAAGATCTGCACTGGCTTCCAGTCCAACCCAGAGTCGAATATAAAATCCTCATGCATAAATTCAAGGCCATCCATAACCTCGCACCACCTTATTTGTCTGATCTCCTGCATATCAGCACTTATTCCCACTCCCTTAGAGTCTGAATCATTCGGTACGAGACTTTCGGTTCGGTACGCATTGCAAACCGAACGATTCAGACTAATATCTATAAGATATAAGATAAGAGAATAAGTACAAATAAAGCCTGCAATGCTTGCCCCGCCATCAAGCTGAAAAATGTAAAGGTCTGGATCCGAAAGAATGAAAACAATACTGACCGATTTAGTTTTAGAAACCAGCTGAGTTACAACTAATGACACATCTGAATAGTGATCATGTGCTGATTGTCAATCCAGCACTTACACTTTTCGAAGAGTGGATAGAGGACTACCAGTGTTTAAAGTCTGCTATAAAAATGACTAAAGCGTTCACCGTAAAGCCGGTGGGACAGAGCTTTCAGGTAACAATGTTTGCCCCTGAATCTACACATTTTAAGCACGAGACGTTATTTAAACCTTCATTTAATCGTCACAATGGCTAAAAAGCATGCATTCACTGAGATGAAACTAATATTGCAGCTCATGAAAAGACCGTTATTGCTATTAAGATGACGTATGCAAATAATAGGTTATAATATCATCTGTGCACTATCAGACAGCTCAGTGATTATTGGTAATTCAGTTCTCATTCACATCAAGTAGTGCATGCAGGCCGGTGAGCGCATGCAGATTTGTGTTTTTTGAAAGTTGTGATTAGAGTGTTAATATATAATAGAATCTGTTAATATAAAACATGTAGTAACTGTGCTCATAATTTTTCGGTTGGTGCAACTAAATTGTGTCTGGTGCGCCTAAATTTTTTAAGTTAAGAGCATCGGTGCTACCAAGAAAAAAAGGTTCATTTCAAGACCAGTTAGACCTTAATCGGTAATGGAAATTCCGCTTTAAGAAAATGTGAAATGTAATAGAGCCCCGTTGCATTATTCCTTCATTAGCCCATTTCAGTCAAATAATTCCTGCTTTAACATCCACTAAAATGGCAGATGACAGTCAAATCAAGCAGATATGTGTTGTATGAAGAAAAGGACACTCGTCCTTCTGAAAATAAAAAAATCTTTAAAAATAGACAGAAATTGAGTTCCATATAAAAACTAAATTGTTCTTTTTTATTTGTTTAACTACTACAATATTACATTTATTTTTGTAGTAAGCTTTTTAGTTGAGTACTAAAGAAGGATTTTATTTATTTTTTTGCTGCTAAGCAAACACCAGAAGTATATCTCTATCACTGTTTAAAGTAAAAAAACAAAACAAGATCATACTTTTATGATCTTAGTTTTAATACATTTAAAAAAACTTAAATCAGAGAAATCCTCTGGCTTTTTTTTTTTTTTTGCTGTATTGAAAAAATACAGAACCGCGACACTACTGTGTCGTATCGAACCGAACAGTGATTTTTGTGAACTGTTACACCCCTACTAATAAGCATTACTTTGCTACAACAATCCTCATGTCAAATCACAAACTATTAAAAACTTCTGATTTCTTTTCAAATCTATATTTCTTTTACAAAACAATAGTCTGAACATGTTTTTATTATTATGAAAAGATTATTAGATTCTTCAAACATCCTAGATTTTCACAGCAATTGTTAAAAATGTTTCTTAGAAAACAAATTCCAATCAAATGCCAACACACAGCTCATACTATAGATTTTGAAATCTACTTTATAAATATTGGGAAAAGTAAGAAAAATAATATTTTATTCATGCCAAGCTATTGACAAAAACATGGGACCTCCTCATAAAAAAAGCAGATTGTTAAAAATATCAACTAAACAATTTAAAATATAATTTGTACAAGTACTTAACTATGATTTTATGTCAATTTTTAATGTAAATTGCAAGTTTATATAATATAACAAAATATATATTTTTTTGTTTTACAGTTGTGGACTTGCATATAATATATAACAGAAATGATGCATATTATTTGTTTTTCTTTAAAATGAGACCAAGCGTTGAAGATGAAATGAACAAAAAGTGGCATAAATGCAAATACATATCGATATAACAGAGTTTATCATTTCTGATGGTATACTATTATTGAAATTTAAATGTATTTAAGACTATTAGATTAGACTGGTAGACATTGGAGTCAGTGTTTGTTCGTAGTCAATGGAGTAGTAAACATTTTTTCCTCCTCTCACTCCTAAATGGGCTCAGCTGTTTTAAGGGAGGTGCGACTCAGTGCCAATTCATTACAGCTTAGCGAGGGATGCCAACAACTAAAATGCCATCAAACATAACGCCCATTTTAGCTGTTTCTGTCTGCGTACTGAATACTGTGCCAACTGAGCCTACTTTCCACAGCCAGACTGGAGGATTTTATCACTTGAGTAAATCACCTCTCACTACTGACACTTGTTTATGACAGCTTTTTAAAAATGGCAGGTTTATTAGCAGCTGGGTTTAGTCAAAGTCAGCTCGCTCTACGGCTGTCCTGCTAACACCCCAGGCAGCTATTTCCTAAATAGATTATAAAAGTACACTTCCTACGTACATGAATGGGGAATGATGGTAAAATCCAAAACTATCTGTCAAGATTAAGTCTCAGTAACGGGTCATATAAGCAATGGAATAATTTATTTAGCTTTTTTTTTTTTTAACTTGAAGTGCATTAAAAATATGTACTTTAGAGTAAACAAATCTCCAACAAAAAGTTGATAATGTTAGGTATGTGAGAGTTTTAGTTAGGTACTCACTAACTATAAGCAATAATGTGGATAATATTAGTTGAGAAATGTAATGCTCATTGTTAGTTAGTTTAGATTCTTTAAAACATTTACTAATATTATTAATATTTTATTTGAATCAAAAATCTAAATTACAAGTATTCAACTGAGATTATGGTGTTTTTCAAAATAGTTAACTAAATAAAATAACATAAATAACAATATAAGTAACATAAAAAATAACAAATGCAACCTTTCTGTTACAAATTTTTACTGAATCCGTAATAAGGATATCAGCTATATTTTTTCCTAATTTTCATGGTTACATTACATTATAATAAGCAAAACTAATATGATTAATGATGACACTTCAGCAATGATTCGAAATAACATAAAAGATTAGGACAGAAATACACTAATATTATACAGTGTAACATACCTCTCAGACTAGCAATAATTTATAGGTTGGCATGGATTTTTTTTTTAATCTAGATTAATCTCAATATTAATTTAGATTAAAATTGCGCATTTGAATTCTGCCGAGGGCATTCAGAATCTGTGTGCTACCCAAATAAAAAGTCTTTAAGAACAAATTTCTCAAGCGAGGTGGCGCATTAGACCAGGGGCTCATCTCCTGTTTCGAAATTGAATCACAAACTGCTTGAGAAACTGTTCTTCTATGATAATTGTTGATGAAAATAAATCTTGTTCAATAAGATGTACTTGTGTTCACAAACTGCTTCTTCAGCTTAAACATGAATTTTGAACTGTAGGCTGCACATACTTGCTTTTGATCTACGTACATACAGAAAATGCTGATTAAACAGTGGTTTTCGATTACCCTAATGCGACTAAAGTCATAACTGAACTAAACAGAAATGGAATTAAGACATGTGGAGTATGCATATATTAGTGGCATTATTTACCATCATGTAGGACTTTTGGCCATATTTTCCGACAAGATTCACACACGCAGCTGTCAGTAAAGGAGCGCACACACAAACACACGCACGCACGCACACATCGCGAAGTGCAGACTTTTTTTTCTTTCCATTTGGCATGAGTTATTAAACTATATAACAATCTCACCTCACTCCTTATTTGCGTCTAATACCCCAGTTTGTCACGGATGCATGAATGAAATCTTTATGAGTTTAAGTGAAACTGCCGGTCAGGTATACATCCACGCTAAAATATCAAGCTAAAAGTCATCATACTGTACCTTGTGTAGAACAAACCCAGCTCCCAAACCAACTTTGAGAAAAGATTAACGGCAATATTTTTTTATCGCGAGTCTTGCGTTAACGCAGCACGTTACCGCTGATAATGGCCCACTATTACAATAGTTATATATCAACTTAAATTTTATGTATACATCATATGATAATCTCATATAAAATGGCTAAATGTTTTTAAATTTAAGTCACCTGAAAGTACTTTACCACTAGTTGTGGGAAAAGCACTCAAGTCATTGATCTCATCTTTAGCTGGTGAACTTAACATCTGCCATTGATGTGTCTTGGGTGCCTGCTTAGATAACAGTGTCTTTATCAGATGTTTACAGAACAAGCAGGAACCCAGTGTGTCTCTAGCTTTCTCTGCACAGATATGTGTCTTATTACGTATAGCAAATCATTCAAATCTGGTGTCTATTAAATGTATATCTGAGACTTCTGTAGTGAAAACGACTAAAACTGTTAAGTTAGCACTTTTAAACATTCGATCACTCAATAATAAGTCACTTTTAGTCAACGATTTTATCAACACAAATTGCCTTGATTTTATGCTTTTAAATGAAACTTGGCTAGATGACAGTTATAGCACAGCAGTTAGGAATGAAGCAGCTCCTTCAAACTTTGACTTTTTGAGTGTTTGCGGAGTTAATAGGAGAGGTGGAGGCATCGCTGCCCTGTTTAAAGATGTATATGATTGTAAACAAGTGTCATTTGGTGACTATTTGTCATTTGAATATCTGAGTATAGCACTAAAAGGGTCTCCACGCATCTTACTGATCATTATCTACAGACCCTCAAAATATTCTCCAGCTTTTATTGATGATTTTACAGAGCTGTTATCAATAGTAACATCTGAATTTGATTATTTTAGTATTGCTGGAGATTTTAATATTCACATTGATAATCCAGAAGTCAATGCTGTTTTTAACACTTTTGATCTGGCTCAGCATGTTCAAGGACCCACACACAATCGTGGACACACCCTTGATCTACTTATAACTAAGGGTTTACACATTTCATCGACTGTTGTAAAGGATGTGGCACTATCTGATCATTTCTGTATTTTCTTTGATATATTGATCACTCCAGCTATTAAAGACAGATCTGTCTCTGTCAAAAAGAGATGCATAAATGAGAACACCAGAGAGCAGTTTATGAAGGCCATATCGCTAGCACCAAGTATATCTGCAGATTCTGTTGATTCTCTCCTTGGTTTGTTTAATTCTAAAATTGAAAATGTAATAAATGACATTGCTCCTGTTAAAGTTAGGAAGAGAACTGGCAAAGAGAGAGTCTCTTGGAGAAACTCAAGAGCAGTCCAAATGAAGAAAAGACAATGCAGGAAAGCTGAGCGTATGTGGAGAAAGACAAAACTAGTAGTCCATTATAATATCTATAAAGACAGTCTTCATGCTTTTAATGTGGAACTAAAAACTGCTAGACAGACTTTCTTTTCAAACCTTATAAACAACAATGTAAAAATTGCTCGCACACTCTTTGCAACAGTAGAGAGGCTCACAAACCCCCCCCCCAGTTGGATTCCCAGTGAGCTACTCTCTGAAAGTAAATGTAATGAGTTTGCTTATTTCTTTACTGATAAGATTAATAATATCAGAAAGGCAATCAGCTCATCCAATCAGCCAAGTTGTGTCGATGTCAAACAAGCTCAACCACAACTTGAGAAGTCAGACATTAAGTCTGATTTCATGGCAATTAATGGTAAAATCTTAGAAGAGATCGTGCAAATTATAAAAACATCAACCTGCAGTTTGGACACGCTCCCCACATCATTCTTTAAAACGGTGTTTACTTGTTTAGAAATGGATCGCCTAAAAGTGGTAAATGCTTCACTTCTCTCAGGGATTTTTCCAAACTCACTTAAAACTGCAGTTGTTAAAGCCCTCTTGAAGAAGAGCAACCTGAAGAAGAGCACCATATTGAGCAATTACAGGCCAATCTCAAATCTCCCTTTCATTGGCAAAATCATTGAAAAAGTTGTTTTCAACCAGGTCAACAAGTTCTTAAACTTCAGGGGGTGTTTAGACAATTTTCAATCTGGTTTCAGAGCACATCACAGTACAGAGAGCGCTCTTATAAAGATAATCAACGATATACGTCTAAATACAGATTTAGGTAAAATAACAGTGTTGGTACTGCTCGATCACAGTGCTGCATTTGACACTGTCGATCACAGCATACTTCTAGATAGGCTGGAAAACTGGGTTGGGCTGTCTGGGACAGTCCTCAAATGGTTCAGATCTTACCTTGAAGGGAGAGGTTACTATGTCAGTTTAGGTGATCATAGGTCGAGGTGGACACCCATGACATGTGGAGTCCCACAAGGCTCGATTCTGGCACCTCTCCTGTTCAACCTTTACATGCTCCCTCTGAGCCAAATAATGAGAAAGAACCAAATCTCCTACCACAGCTATGCTGATGACACTCGGATCTACCTAGCCTTACTGCCTAATGACTACAGCCCCATTGACACACTCTGCCAGTGTATTGATGAAATTAACAGCTGGATGTGCCAATATTTTCTTCAGTTAAACAAAGAGAAAACTGAAGTCATTGCGTTTGGGAACAGAGATGAGGTTCTCAAGGTGAATGCTTACCTTGGCTCTAAAGGTCAAACGACAAAAAATAAGGTCAAGAATCTTGGTGTGACTCTGGAGTCAGATCTGAGTTGCAACAGTCATGTCAAAGCAGTCAGTAAATCAGCATACTATCATCTCAAAAATATTGCAAGAATCAGATGCTTTGTTTCCAGTGAAGACTTAGAGAAACTTGTTCATGCTTTTATCAGCAGCAGGGTGGATTACTGTAACGGCCTCCTCACTGGCCTTCCCAAAAAGACAGTCAGACACTTGCAGCTCATCCAGAATGCTGCAGCCAGAATTCTGACCAGAAGCAGAAAATCAGAGCACAACACACCCGTCCTCAGGTCTTTACACTGGCTGCCAGTTACATTCAGTCCTGCTTCTATGTGTTTTTCCCCACCTGATCTCTCCTGCTATTCAGTCTGTTTACCTGCTGCCTGCTAAGAACAGGTTTTTTCTCGATGTACTGTCCCCGCTGAATTAAGAGAGAAGAGCCGAACCCTCTCTCTCTCTTTGCTTAAGTGTCATTCACCACAACGGTGCTAAGTGAAATGGAGCTCTTTGGAATAATAATAAAATTATAAAGAAATCATGAACAAAAAGTGCATTGTTGCCTTGGTAATGGAAGCATAATGTAGACAGAAGTAATCAATAATTTAAAAGTGCTTAATTATTACGATGTGTTGACATGATTATTGTCTGCATTATTGGTGGAGACTTGAGTCAATATGTAAAATAGAAAAAGGGAAAATTTAAACTTTTTCTTTTATTTTCTTAAGCATTTTGTTTGAACATACAATTTTCAAAATGCCCTACTTTTATTTGATTATTGCAAGAACATGAAAATCTAAAGTCATATGTGAGAAGCATTGTCAGGTGTTTGTTAACCATTATATATGTTTATTGTTCTTTGAATTGTTCTGTAGGCAGTTTTTTCTAAGCATAGCACAAACCGTACTGTACCGAAATTGTGACCCTAAAACTGTGACACATACCAAGCCGTGAGTAAATTGAACTGCTGCACCCCTAGTATCAAAGTGTTAATGTGTGTAAATGTAATTATAAAAAGTACCTTAAGTCCTTGAATTTTATTACAGATGACTCGAGCTTTGCGCTTAATGGCAACATCTCCCTCTGTACTCCTAAACAAAATAAATCAACATATTACAAAAATATATTACTATAGACATTCAGTCTTTAAATATTACTGTTATGCATCAGAATAAAAGTTTACCCCTGACGGAGAGCATCATAGATTATCTGCTGGATCTGGTCTTCAGGTGAGAACTCTGACCCTGAACTTTGACCCTGGTCCATCAAGAGGTCTGGAGTGACCTAAATAGAAATAACAACATATTAAATCAATAAACACAAGTCACAAGGAATAAAAGTTCAGTTGCTTCAAAACATCTCGGTAGCCTTTTTTAACAACTGATACGTCTGAGTAGTAACAAAAGTGTGCATTCTGTCATCTGAGACCATCAAGCTAAATCAAGCTAAATGACATTCAATGCCAGAGAGAACAGAGTATCGGGTTGATGAATTGCTTTACTGTATCCAACTCTGTTTACACTGTTCCGAATGCCTTTCGAGGCATCAGACATGCAATTTTCGCTTTATAAAGTTAGATCTTTTTTTTTTTTCTGCCTAAATTTGCATAAATTCCTGTCAGAGAAAAATATGCCAAACAAACGAGTGAAGAGATTTTTTTTTCAAAATACTGTCACCATTTATTTCAAATGCAGAAGATATACAGTGGGTGCCTAAACTGAAAGAGTTCACCTAAAACCTTCAAAAACAACATTTAAAAATGTATCCACATGAATAATGAGTTTAATGCAAGTCTTCTGAAGTAACATGATCACTTTATAAAATAAGAGATTCACCCAAAAGATAAAAATGTACTTACTATTTACTCTCCCTCAATTGGCATACTAAATCTCCTTTTCAGTTTAACAGAAACAAATATATTTCGAGTAATGTTAGAAACATGTAACCATTGACTCCCATAGTTGGAAAAAACAAATATTATGAAAGTCAATAATAACATATTTCCAAAATTTGAAACAACTTTTGTGTTCAACAGAAAAAAATTAACTCAAACAGGTTTGTGACAGGTGAAGGTTGAGGAAATGAATACAGAATTTTCAGTTTTGATTGAACTACATTTTTAAGGCTTTAAGAACATAATTAGGTCTCAACCATGTGAACTAGACATGTAACAAACCTCACTGGTTCTTGTGGATGCTCAAACGTTCCACATAAAACACAAAAATGAACCTCATTGGTTCTTAAGTGACTAAAAGGAAATTTTTTAAACATTGTTCTATGTAAATAAAAGTTTAAACTTACTCTGTTCATCAAACAAAATGGTTGTCTCTCACCATTAGGGTTGCACGATATTGGACAAATCTAACATTGCGATATTTAGTTTTTCTGCGATATATATTGCGAAATGATTACAACTTCACCAGATGCCATGAATAACTTTGTTTAGAAAGAAATCATTCATTTAGATTGACTAGGGTGATTTTGTAAGGGTGTGAATCAAGTATAAAAAATAATTAACAAATAGTAAGCAAAAATAATTAAAATAAAAAGTACACTAATTAATAATAAACAGCTAAAATAAGTATTCAGGTAAAAAAATTGAACAATTAAAGTCAGATGTGTAACAACACTGTATAGTCATCAAGGTATTAATATTTTAGTCAAATTATTCTTCATTAAGGTTTACTTTTTGCCCCCGAAATCTCTTGAAATGCCTTTAAAATGCATGCCAATGATGAACTTTCACTCTGTTATGGTTATATTTTGGTGGTGCTGATCAATAATTAACCCAACTGAACATTGCATATCCTGCGATGGGACCATTGCGGACACACACATTGCGATATCGATGCTGAAACAATATATTGTGCAGCCCTACTCCTCAGACAACTTTGAACTCCTCAGATAAACCTTTCATATGGATTTATTTTCCATCTTCAGTTTTTCAGACAACACTTTCAAGGGAGGGACAAAAACTACAAGATGTAGGAATAAAGTCAGCAAGCAAGCAAGTAATTAAAATTTATATTCTCAAGATAAATTCATTTTTTACAAATTTTTCAAACAGATTATTCGGATGGCCATGGCTAATAAACATTATAGAAGTAGTTGGAAATGGAGAAAGCTGTGATGTAATTCTATTAAATCAAAGAGATTTGCAGGCCAAAAGGGGAGGGAAAGCACTTACATGTCCATCAGATGAAACAGAGGGAGTGACTGCTGTAACTTTTGCAATAGAACCGGATCCACGACCCAGGCTGCTGTAAGCAGAAGCAGGTGACGAAGATGATGGTGAAGAGTATGTTTTAGGAATGAGAGATGGAGCAGGTAAAGGTGAAGTTGAAGTGGATCTGTCGTCTGCATTTGGAACAGGATAGCGCCCCCTGGTGGTGGTTGCAGAGTTATCCACCTGTGAAGAGCTCCCGTCGAACCTGTTGACAAGTCTTTGGACAGGGGTCTGACGGGTGGAGCTGGGGGCTGATTGGATCTGAGTGTGCTGGTTGTGCAGTGCTATTTCGATGGATTCGGATGAGGTGTGGTGACTGCCTCCACCTCTCCCTCTCCCCAAAGTGCCATTCAGCCCTGTCTGGTAGGAACCTCCCCACTGATTTCTCTCCATCCTTTCTCTGGGTCGCTCCCTTTCAGATCCCATACCAATACCTCCATCCAGGTTGCCATAGCTTCCAGAACGTCCATCTCCAAGTGGACGTCGGAGCTGATCTGTGAAGTCTTCAGGACTGTTTTCTCTGTCCAACAATGAGCCATGAGACTGAGCCCTACGGATAGGGATGTTGTCTCCAGATGAGAAATATGGCCCCTGGATTACACCATCCTCTCTCCTCCTAACACACAGAGAATACAAACAAATCAATTACACATTTTTACCAATTCGAATCGGGATACTTCATTTACTTACTGGGGACTTTCATTACCTTAAACCTTAATAACTTTAAATGGGCACTAAAGATTTGATGTACTTTATATAACTGCTGAGATATTAAGATGATAAGGTCAGGATTTGATGTATTATAAACAATATGGAAGCATGGGTCCATCATGCCCTGTCAACAGTTTATGCTGGAGCTGAAATGGTGTGGGGGAGATTTTCTTGGCACACTATGGGACTCTTAGTACAAACAGTGCTTTGTTTAAATGCCACAGCTAACCTAAATATTGTTGAGCACTGTTTGACCACAGCGTAACCATCTTGTGATAGCTATTTCCAGCAGGATAAACCATTATGTCACAAAGCTTCAAATCTCAAAGCTCAAACTAGGTCTAAGTAAACATGACAGTGAGTTCACTACAGTTTCTAGATCTCAATACAGTAGAGCTCCTCTGGGATTTGGTGGAAGAGGATATTTGAATCATGCATGTGTAGCCACCAAATATGCCGCAGCTACATGTTATCATGTCAGTAATGGAACTAAATCTTTGAGGAATGTATTCAGCTTCTTGTTGGATTAACGTCACAAGGAGTCATAAACATTCTCTAATCAAACATTTCGATAATCGTGAACATTTGACGTGTTAAATTTGCTAAAACTACTAACATTGTAAACATTCAACTACTTAGTGAAGGGTGACATATAAAATATATTCATAAAACCTAGATTCATATTAGTATTGTATGCACAAGTTTAGAGGTAAGCACAATACTGTACACCAAATCACAAATAATTGATCATTTTAATGTCTAAACATCAACAGTATATCATCAGTTTCTGATATACACTTTCCTACATTCAATTCAATTCACCTTTATTTGTATAGTGCTTTTTACAATGTAGACTGTGTCAAAGCAGCATCACATAAAAGATCATAGTAAATTGAAATAGTGTAAACTATGAATTTCCTGAAAAACCTTCATATCTGTATCTAAGAAATAGAAAAGAAATAGCACACTATTCGTTATCTAGGTATCTGAAGGGAAAACCCTGTGCATTTTCCCCCTTAAGACCCGCATGGTAGCCTTGTGGCAGTGCAGGGGGAGAGACAGTAAGAAAAGAGGAATAACAGCTGACAGAAAGTACTTCCAGGTAAGCACTGTGAACTACTTCAGTACATTTATTTTACTTTTAGATGTTTTGGCAATATGTTGTAATGTCACGTTGGTCAGCCATCCATGTTACACAGTTTAGGCTATATCCGAGGGGAAAGACAGGTTAGCTCAATGCTCTAAGGCTAACGTTAGCTATGGCATTATTTAATTTAGTTGTCCTTTTGCAGTGTAAAAATAATATGGTTGTTATTGTCGTTATTTTTTTCTCATAATGGGGCAACACACTCATACACTACGGACAATTTAGCCTACCCAATACACCTGTGCCGCATGTCTTTGGACTGTGGGGGAAACCGGAGCACCCGGAGGAAACCCACGCGAACACAGGGAGAACATGCAAACTCCATATAGAAACGCCAACTGACCCAGCCGAGGCTCGAACCAGCGACCTTCTTGCTGTAAGGCGACAGCACTACCTACTGCACCACTGTGTCGCCCGTACAGGTAAATTGAAGAAGCAAAATTTTGTCCATAGTGTACGTGTGTGAATTAGTGTGTATGGGTGTTTACCCAGTGATGGGTTGCAGCTGGAAGGGGTTGATTTTTGTGATCTCCTGATTGCAACAGAGCAATACTAGGAAATCTCTGTAAACTGAGATGGCATTTCATGCCGTTCAGTCTTATAATCTTAAAATGTGAGCAAAATCACCTGTCTGTCATCACTTTACACATTACCGTTAGAGAATCATTTAAATACTAGTTGAGTTAGGAACGATTTTCTGCTGACATCAGCTGCAGAGGTGATTGAATAGCGGAGACTCTCCGTGTTTGATTTCTTTTTGATACATACGATTATGCAGTCGAACTGTTGTATAAACGCAATATCACACTCGTAGCAGTACGATGAGGCTTTATATCGTCACTGGTGGGAGACTAAACATGCCTCCCACCAGTGCCGATATACAGCCACATCGCACTGCTACGAGTGTGACATTGCTCATATACAAAATTCCCGCAAAATATTGTTGGACAATATGTCGTCTTCATCGACACTAAAATGGCGGAAACTACCATTAAATCTAATGTTACAGGGCTATGTGAGCACACTTATTCTAAAATAATTATATTTTATGGACCTCCTGGTATTCTTTGACCACTCAAAGGACTTCTCATGGATAAACTGTTTGCTGCCATCGGTTTCCTCAAACGGTTTGAGTTATCTTATCGGGTACAGTATGCAGACATAAAACAATATATTACTTAGAGCAAATCTGAACTGTGTGATTGACAATGCAAACTGGATTACAGCAAAGTTGTATCATTTAGCAGACGCTTTTATTTATAAATTTTATCAATTTATTTACATTTAAACAGTAAATTAACAAAGTGAATGATAGAGCCAATCTTAAATAACCAATTCTTTTACTGCAAAATGTTTTAGGACAGCTCTTTTTTTAAGACCTGTTCAAATGACAGCATTATACTATTAAAACATTGGACAATACCTAGGCAGGCTGCTGTAGGCAGGTGGTTGGGTTCTCAACTGCACTCCATATGAATCTCCTTTCTCTCCCTCTTTCAGTACGACGTAGGGCTGTCCACCAATGCCCTGCACTCTCACTGCCACTCCATAGCGAGACGGCTGCTTTTTAGGTCCCTCTTTCCGGGGCTGCCCACTCACTCCCCCTCCGGTGTCTTGCAGGTCATTTATAAATCGAATCTGTACACCATAGTCCACAGGGGTTTTCCTACCGGAGACAGGAGCAGACATCCTAGAAAAAGAGAGACAAGCATCAAGAAAATGTCAAAGTATATTTTTCCAATGGCGTGTGGCTTGTGTGTTCAGTGACCTCAAACAGATGAAACACTCCTCTCAGGCTCCACAACTGTTTCCCTCAATTTCAGAGTTGCATTCAATAAAACCGGAGCAAACCAAAGCACTCTGAGATGAAATCGCAAGAAGAAACTGAAGTAAAAGTACAAAATGAAATGGTCTTTTTCCATCACAACCCTGCACATCCTTTGGTTCACACCGGCCCTGACAGAAGCACCATAGAGTCACTGCACAACCTGATCTCAAGTCACTTTGCCATCTGCGGACGCTCCTCTCTTCTTCCCTAAAAAAAGCACTTCAGCAAGGATACCACGGTGAATTCCCTTTTCTTATTGGTGGTTCTTGCCTCAGGATTGGGGGCAGTGTCCTACTTTACTTTTTTTGAGCGTATTATTTATGCATGTATAGAATGTAATGGGGGTTTCTATTGGTTAGTGTTCATTTCTAAAAAACTATTATTTGCCAATTCTGATGGTATTCTGATATATGCCACAGCCTCAAATATTAGAACTTCTGTTATTAAAATAAATCACAGTTATGATCATATTTAAATGACCAAAATCTAAATTTTATGCATTAAGGTATACTAGCTAGTAGGGCTGTGCGATTAATCAGAATCAAATTATAACGCAATTATAACGTTGCAATTAGCTAAATAAGAGCAATGAGAGCAAGAGGCAGTGATATGAAATATATTTGTATTATTCAATTTCCCCTGCCCAGCGCAAATGCATTACTGCCATGTGTGTGATAGTCTTACTAGCCAATTAAGTGAACAGACTTTTCTATAAATGTTATGTTTTAGGGTTTTTTCACCTTTAATTGGGATAAGATAGTGGAGGTTACAGACAGGAAAGTATTGGGAGCAGAAAGAGGGGAAGGGTTGACAAAGAACCTCAAGCAGACAATCAAACTCAGGTCGCCGTGAGCACCATGGTGTTATATGTCAGTGCACTTAAACTCTAGGCTATTGAAGCCGACAAGCAAGCACAATTTTATTCTGCCCAATCAGAATGGCGCAACCAAATTATGCGGACTGCCCAAAATTAAAAAAAAATAATTAAAAAAAAAAAAAAAAAAAAAACTAGACTAATTAATACCAAAAAAAAGGACATCAGTAATATGGGAATATTTTGGTTTCAAAGTCACAGACACTGAACAAAAACAGGTCATTTGTAAAAGCTGTCAGACGTACAACAATCAGCACTTAAAAAAGCTACACAGGCACCATATGAGTCAGAGTTGTTTCAGCCATGTTAGTTTGCTGATTGTTCTGTATTTTTATAATTATTATTTTGTTTTTTGTTTTAAATAAACAAAATGATAATGTTTATAATAAGCTACACCATCTCCTCTAGTTCAACTTTACATAAAGGTATAGTCATTTTATTTGTTTACTGAGAAACTTAATGTTTTATTTATGAATATTTAAAAATAAATTTGAATAAACGTGCAAGTACGTTAATATCTTTTTAGTCATCTGTTTTTAACTAACACTCACTGCATTTTAGCAGTAAGAAGCTATGATACAGATTATTGAGATGAAGTCTGACCACAAAATTAAATCGCAAATCAAATAAAAAATGCAATATCTGTGAAAAAAATAAAATAAAATAAAATCACATATAGATATTTACCCTAAATCAAATAGCCCTAACTAGTTTATTGCTGCAACACTAAGACACAATGTATCTTATCAAAATGAAGAAATTAATAACTATCAGTCTGACTTATCTGATTATTTTTGGCTACATGAATGTCCTTAAAAATGAAAATGCTTGTTATATTGGAGTATGCAAGACATTTGCATAAAATATCTAATAACAGTAGACCAATGTGCATTCTGTTAAAGGGATAGTTCACCTTTTATTTGTTCCAAAGCTGTTTTACTTTCATTCTTGTGTTGAACAAAAGCTTGAAATCTGTAATCATTGGAAGTAAATGGTTACAAGTTTTCTTCAAAATATCTTATTTTGTGTTCAATAAATAAAAAAAGAATAAAGAAACTTATAAAAGTTTGAAACTACTTGAAGCAAATATAAAGTACACTTTTTTTTAGGGTAGACTTTGTCTTAACGTGTAACAACATCATCGTTTCAACTAAAAGAGGAATCTGCTTTTTTAACCAGCAACATGTCATTACATCCCCTGTCAATGGTGTCATGTCTGGCTTCCCATTTCATGTTAGTTTTACGTCCACAAAACACAATTGTTCATTCAGTAAAATTGCAGACATAGAAATTGCAGTATCTGCCAAGCCACTTATTGATAATTGTTTGCTGTGGGTTACGTCACCAAAACAAACTCAAAAAATTGAAGACAAATGGCCCCTGAAAATTAGAGACCAGAGAAACAAATTAATGTAACACTTTACAATACGGTTCATTAGTTATTGCATTTACTAATATGAACTAATCATAACCAACACTTGTACAGCATTTATTAATGATAATTGAACATTTACTAATGCATTATTAACATCCAAGTCCATGCTTGTTAACATTAGTTAATGCAACGAGTTAACATGAACTAACAAACAACTCTATTTTCATTAACTAACGTTTATTAACATGAATAAATACTGTAGTAAATGTATAGTTCAATGTTTGTTCATGTTAGTAAATGCATTACTTAACATTAACTAATGAACCTTATTGTAAAGTGTGACCCAAATGAAAAATCAATATTCACATTTCCAAGGAGAGAGATCGTGACTCAATTTAACAAGAGAGGGACACCTGAATGGTCCTGAATGTGTCACATTAGACAAGTGACAACTATTTGAATGTTTTTGTATGATACATCTAATATAGTGCATAGTTTTGATCTCTTCTGATTCTGACAAATTTCCATTGGTTGTGGTGATGAATACAGCAACTGCCATGATTCTCCACTGAAAGTACACACACCTTGGTGATTAAATAAGAAACCTCTTACAGGTAAATTTACATACTGTACTCTGTCAAAATCTGTCAGACTTCAGTTTCATTCAAACCACATTTAATTGTAAAAATTGGACGTTACACTTTAGAAATAAGTTGTGTGTTCAGAGGAGAAACTACACTACCTGACAAGTCTTGGTCTAAGTTTTATAAACAACAAACAATAACTTGAATGATCAGATATGACTGAAATCACTTTATAATAAAGCCATCTGGAATGGCAAAGAAAGCGTTCTTGCAGGACTCCCAGAGTTCATGTCAATGTCTTCTCCATTTTACCCTACACATGCTCAATAATGTTCTATCTGGTGACTGTTCTGGCCAATCCTGGAGCATTTTGACCTTCTTTGCTTTCAATAACTTTGATGTGGAGGCTGAAGTATGAGAAGCAACATACTGAATGTAACCCCAAACCATGATTTTCCCTTCACCAAACTTGACTGATATCTGTGAGAATTTTGGGTCTATGCAGGTTCCAATAGGTCTTCTGCAGTATTTGTGATGATTAGGATGAAAGTAAAACAGATGATTCATCAGAAGGTTCCTTCTCCCACTTTTCCAAATGATCAACTAAGTTAAGTTATTATTTGTTGCTCTTACAACTGCAATTGACGACAAGACTTTTGTCAGGTAGTGTAGTTATTAAAAGGTTACGAGAACATGTCCGCTTGTGGATCCATCAGTATAAATCAACAACAATAAAGTAAATGAGGTTGATTCCATTTGATCTTCAACAACCTTGTAGACAATGCTGCTCTGTCTTGAAAAGTCTCTAGCCTGCTATTCTCTGAAGGAGAAACTGAATGGGATTTTTTTTTACTAGAACTCTACTACTGTTGTGCTCTACTGAGATACAGGCAGACGGTCCAGTGTGGCGGCATTGAATTACACACACTCACACTACTCCATGCTGCCTGTTACCTCTGACTCCTGGCACATAAGACCCAATGGCCTCCATTATTCATTAACCTGAACAACCACACACACAGACACACACACAGACACACACAGACACACACAGACACACACAGACACAAACACACACACTATTGACTTCATAAACTAATTCCACATTTTTTTAGATTTACTAACAAAAGATCGAACATGCTACTTTTTTAACAAAAGCCAGGCCTTAATGTGACGTAATGGAGAAGACACTGAAGGTGTGGCTGCTGTGATAGAATGAAAGTATCGTATAAGGAAAATATTTAAGGGTGTGACAGGAACAAAGTGCATTCCTAGACATTGGTACGTCACTTTATAATTACTCACTCTTTTTCTTTCACTCTCAAACTCTTTACCTTCTTCCATACCAAAACTACAGTGCTGCAATACACTGATTAAACAGTCTGCAAACACATTCAGTCAGATCACTGCTCCTCCTACAATCATGTGTGGAAACTGATTTTGGTTTTAGTTTAGATTTTGATTAACAGTTGAAGTGTTTATTAAAAGCTTAAATTATTTATTACTTTTATATTTTCTGTTGTCATTTTAAAATATAGGTAAAGTTAAAAAAATGTTGTGTTTATACCATTATTATTATTATTTCAAAAAGTGTGTGTGTGTGTGTGTGTGTGTGTGTGTGTGTGTGTGTGTGTGTGTGTGTGTGTGTGTGTGTGTGTGTATTTATATATATATATAAAAAAAAAATAACTAATTAAAATTAATGAAAAAGAACAACTTTTTACCAACTCAAAACAAAAAATAAAAAATGTTGATGTTTATTTTATTTAAATAAACAAAATGTAAGTTTTTTAATCAATTATAAATAATTATTTTATAATTATTTAACTATTATAAGCTGTGTGCAAGAAAGACAGAGACAAATGGATAAAGATAAAATTTATTAAAACACATGGTAACTCATCAAGATCATTCCACTTTCTTAACTACCATATAAAAATAAAAATAAAATTAATTTAATTCAATAGTTTTGGCTTTGTTGTTATTTTATCCTTGTAATCCTTATCCATTTGTCCAGTAAACTATGTTA